CGCCCCCAGCGCCGGGCGGGAGAGCGGCCGGCGGAAGCGGACCACCTTCAGCAAGGCCCAGCTGGCGCTGCTGGTACGCGCCTTCGAGAAGGAGCCGTACCCCGGCATCGCCCTGCGGGAACAGCTCTCTAGCCTCACCGACATCCCCGAGTCCAGGATCCAGGTGAGAGGGGCGGGCGGGAAGAGCGGCGGGGCGGCCTCCCGCGGCCGGGGCGGGCACTCAGTCTCTGCCGGCCTCGCTTGCAGGTGTGGTTTCAGAACAGGAGAGCCCGGCAGCTGAACCACAAGAAGAGCGAAGCCGCCGCCTACCCCAAGCCGGCCTGTGGCAAACAAAAGACGACCCGCTGCGGTGGCAGCTGCCAGGAGAGGTCTTGGACGACGCAGGGTCTTGGGCCAGACCGGAGCCTCCTCCATCCGCAGGCCGGCCTCCCGGGAGGAAACCAGAGTTTCTCTGGTCAGCTGTTGCCTTACTCGGGCCAGCTGTACTCAAGGCTCGATGCTCACTTTAGGAGCTTGGATAACACTTCTGGTGCCCCAGGTCAAGCCCCCGCTCACTTCGGTTTGGACTGCGTGGAAAAAGGGGTCCCACTCAGTGTGGGAAGTGTGGGGAGTCCCCCCCAGCACTCGCTGCCTGTGCAGCAGGTGCAGGAATATTCACACCTGAAGAAATCTTTCCCTGAAAGCTACTACTCAGATGCAGATGTTTTCCAGTCTTGTATAGAAGATCACCAGTATCTGGCAGCTAAAGAGAACATGTACTGGAGGCCTGTCTTAAACTATGTCAATGCTAACCAGGGCCTGGGTGATGAGAACTATTTGTGTATCAAGTCAAATACTTCTCCCTTTGGGAAGAGCTCCACTTTCAGTTATGGTGAAGGGGAGCCTAAGCTTGAGTTTGAGCAGATAAGGCACAGCCCACCTCTGGTTGCAGCTAGTCACACTAGTCCTCCTTTGGTATTCCCAAAATCCGAAGTGGGGTACCAGGGGACTCTTGCTCCTCCAGCCCTGTCATATGGGCAGCAGCTGCTGGAGACAGCAAATGACTATGACCCTCATTGGCTGAGCATGAGAAATGAAATTTTGGGAACAGGGTTAAATTCGCAGTTTGAGCAAAATGGGGAGCAAGGTGGGCCAAAAAGTTACCTTTTCGCTTTTGGTGGCCAGAGTTCAACCTGTAATTTGGGTCACACATGAAACTGACAGGGGGTCTCCTTGACCAGTGAAAAATTAATGTGTTTTTTTGTTCAATTGGCAATGTTGTCCCAAGTGGCTAGAGGATTTTCAGGCCTAAGTGTGGAGTGCTTTCTTAGCAAGTGTGGAGTTTTGTGTGCTGTCTGGAAGGGGAACGAAGATGGGCAAAGTTAGCAAGGGCTACAGGAGAATAACCTGCTGAATGTGCTGCTTTCCTGCACTGTCCTACAGGAACTGTCACTGAGCTGCTTGCAGTATTCCTGCGTGCCTTCGGTTTTTGGCAGCCTCACACTAACTTGCATGTGAGGACCGATGATCTTCGTAAATACATGAGTGCTGAAGATTTACTCTTTCTATGCTCAGACTATGCTGGATTAATTCTGACAGGAGGTTTGGGACTATGGCATTGGTTTGGGGGCCTTACTGCACTGAGTTTTGTTTCTATTCTGGTCAGAATTCACTTACTTTAAGAAATTTGTTTAAAACAGACATAGCTTTTAGTGGAGAAAGCAAAGGGGTACAAGCATGAGAAGAGTAGCCTTGGTGGCAGGGGATGGCTCACTGGGTATGTTTGCATTTTAGGTGTGCTCCTAATAAAGAAACACCGCTGGTCTTTTCCTAGATACTTAATGTATAGTGTTGTCATTTTAAAATGACCATATGTGTAGCTTTTTAAAAAGCAATATTTTTGTTATTTCCTTTTGTGTATTTCCAATTGTCTTTTTTGCTTTTTTTCCGAATTGTAATTTTGTGTTTGCCAAATGAAGGTTTTTTACCTGGGTGATAATGAACTTGTAGAACTTCACTCACAGGAAAAAAAATAAAAATTATGTTCCATCTTTGCATTTGCACATTGAGCCTATTTTTAGACTTCCCAAGATCCATGGCTGTGTGGAAGACCACCTGTAATCATGGAAGTGTTCTTCATTTGTATCTCTGGAGAGCTGCTCTGGTTGTGTATTAAAGCAGTATTGGCCTAGGATGCTGAAAACTATACATGCAATTCCTTTTTTTTGTCCTTTTAAGATGTGGCTCTGGAATATTTTAAGTATGCCTTAATACATAGGTTATTAACTTAATTGCTTTGTTTAGAGAACAAAAGAGATGTAATAAAACTTACAGAAGCTGTCTATTGAGATGTGTACATGAGAAGTCCAGAAAATTAGTCCTGACTTTTGTTAGTAATTTTTAGCTGTGGCTGTGAAATGTAACTTTTGTGCCTTGACCTGAAAAATTGGAGCGCACTCATGTATTATGGAAGAACCATAGATTCAAACAATAGCTGCAAGGCACTTAGATACAACTTGTGGTGTTCAAAGAGCTAAGTACAAGGTATTGATTGTATTTATGATTGTATATGTGACTCCTTTAGTAAACTTTTTAAAAAGTGTACAGTAAGGCTCATTTCTTTATTTACATATACCCTTTCCCTCATACTTAATGAGAAGCGAGACTTGTGCCTAGGCACAGACAGAACAAGACTAATAATTCTGCACATGAAAAAGACAAGAAACGGGTGTTCAAAAGTGTGTAGCAAAACAGCCTTGTTTCAAAAAGAAAGAGGACGAGGAAAAAGGACATCTAAAAGAATAACATGCCCCACTAAACCACAAGGCTGTGGGGTTTTGGTTCCTTCCCAGAGTCGGTGGCTATCTGACAGGCAGCACCAGGTCTTCCTATGGTATCCTCCCTGCTGATTCTCAATGCAAGGTAACCCGCACCCTTTTATCTCACAAGGGTCTGAGGTAAATAACTGGAGGGTTGCTGTTACAGGTTTCCTCTTGTGAGCCTGGTCTCTGCAGTACATCCAGCTGCTTCCCCCTCTCACTCTATAGACATCCTATTCTGCCAAAGCTCACAAAGCTGCACCAAGGCAGCTGTGTTATGGTCTGGTGTTGAGCTGTCACTCCTGGCATTAGAACCCCTTCACCTGGTCTAGGGAACATGCTTCCCTTATTAGCAAACCCATGTTTCCAACACTGCAGTGGAATACACTGAATACTTCTCATGAGCAAGTCCAAGAAAAAAAAAAATAATCTCCCATCACAGAGCTACCTGCTGCTCGGGGTAGAGCTTTTCTAAGTAAGTTACTGGTTTTCTTTATTTTTCTACAAGTTGCTTTTAACAGACCTACTAGCATATATTTCACAAGTAAGAAAAATCTCTGGAGAGCAGTCAGATGCAACACTCTCATGGCATTTCTGTAAAGTTGCACTCCTTGTTATGAGGTGGAGAATTCCAGAACGGAAATTTCATGCTTATTCAACATGTTAGGAGGTACTTTTAGTGATGATGTTAGTAGCTTCCCCTGGACTTGCATTCCAAAAACATCTCTGCTGTCATACAAGTAGGTGACACTGAGGAAGAGGTGGGGCAGGAACCAAGTGTATTCAGTGATAGACTACTCTTCTCCTGCCTGTAAAATGCCCGTTTATAGAAGAAAGGAGGATTTTGTATGCTGAATATTGAAAACTGTATTTTCTTTCACATAACTTGTTAATGAAATAGTGAGGACCCCAAATTTACCAATGTGGTTCATAGACAGCCTGGGCCTACCCCACTGCTAGGTGTCTTGAGTTCCTCATTTTGTGGGAGCTTGCAAAGTGCATTCCTTTCTTCTTAGCCATCTCCTCTGGCAGCAGGACCAGAGTGACAGCCACAGCCTCTGCAGCTGCCAGTCCTTGCTGGAATCTGCCTGTCTCGGAGGCAGCATCTGGCCGGCATCACAGAGATGGCAGTTCATGACCTGGACACCTATTTAGCAGCCCAGCAACTCACCATTTCTTGGTGTAAGGGAAACTACCCTGGAGAAGAGGGCTCTTAATTAAACAGGACCTATAAAACTTCAGGAAGACTCGCCTTCAAGGCGTAGCCCCCAGATAAAAAACCTACTCACTTCACACCTGCAGTAACTTGAGCCCTGCATGCCTAGGCACGTCCTATGGGGTGACGGACTTGCTATATGAAAAAAGCCCCCATCTAAGGGCACTTTGTCCGAGTTCATACCACTGGACAGCCCTTCACAGGTTTTTATCCGCTGCCTTGTTTTGACCTCCCATAGTCCTTGGTAAGGATTTAATTTTTTCAAAAATATCTTTTTCACATTAATTTCTGGGGGCACCGCAGTCCGTTCGTGCTGGGACAGACCCGCAGGCAGCGCGGCAGCAGGCAGGAACCGCCGAGCCGCCAGCGGCCCTC